CAAGTTGCTGACAGTGCTATTCTAGACATGATAATTGTTTTATCCATGTATTACTCATAATTGGTAAATGTAATATCATACAAGTTTATATAATCAATATTCATATGTATGAGGGTTGACAAAAATTATTAGGCTCTGGTTATGTTTAACAAGGTTTTTACTTTGTGTCATTAATTAAGTTTTAGTGCTATAGCTACTTTGAAGATTGTTTTAAGTTCATAAGTTTAAGTTCACACAATGATAAAGCTGGTGCTTCAAAGATAATAATAATTGCTCCACCGCCTATCTTAAGACAAAGATGTTTTCCAGGAGGTTGCCAAGCATAAGGGAAAACAGCCAAATCACCATTATCCTAAACTTAAAAGCTCATTGGCAATTTGCAACCATAATAATTTTAGTTGTGTTAGTTTTATTTCATTATGTTTCATTCACTTTATATGTTTATCCAGAGTAAAGATTAGTGTATGTATTTTCACAGTAAGTGACTTTCGTAGTTATTCTTTAAATGCTAGCCACTGTTGTTTGGTCAAGTTAATGGGCTTCATATTCCTACTATCACTAGGTACAATCTATAGTTTTGTATTAGTGATTTTAAGGCTTTTTTAATTACACAAGTGATGTGGAACCGAAGTCAAAGTAAACCTTGTATGCATTATGTTTAGTTTAAGTGAATCTCCTTTTACACTTATCTCAAGACTCATTAACTGAAAGTAGATAGTGTTTTTGGCTTATTCGTTTCTTCTAAAGACCGCTAGATGGTGGTAACTTTTAAAACATATGTACGTGAAGGAATTTTCTTTGTCTTGCCCCTTTTACAAATGCTATAAAAGCTTTCTGTTAACTAATAAAGAATGTCATCTGCTCAGGAAGCAGGTGTCCGGGAATATTGTGTCCGTCTTTCGCCTATCTGTCTCTCCTTCAGGAGATCTCACGACCTGGCAAAAAGGGCTGGACCCCAAAAGATACAGTTGGAAACAAAAGACTTTCCCACAATACTGGATTAAAAGCTGCTACCGAGAACTGCTCAGGGTGGCAGGAGCTTTGTTTCTGGTCAAACAGTAGGTAGGGAAAAGAGATATACTTCCTATAGAGAATAAGAGCTAATATCCTAGAACACTGACCAACCTCCACCATCTGCCAATGGGGGGGTGCTCCTTAAAGGCAGCTAGGCATTCTTAGGGGCCACTCCAACCCCTCAAATGGGTCTTTATGCATGCGCACACATGACATACACACCCCTCCCACCCCCCACTTGGGTGCTAGGTAAGCTTAGTTTATTGTCCTTTCTAGCAACTGTTAGGTCCAAATGATTTATTTTCAAAGATGAGACACAATGTTCCATCCATTCACACTCCTATTCCTCTGAGTGTACATGAGGAACATTCTAATTGAACAGCTCTCAGGGAAATCTCTCTAGGTGCTGGGGCTAGGCTATCAAAGTCTAATGGACAACAATTTCCCCATGTGTGCATGTCACAATGGAATCTTTGTGCTTATGCATAAAGCAGTTGATGCGAACCACTGCCTTCTCCGTGCTCTTGACAAATAAATACACAAGCAAGATAAGGAGGTGCAGAGACAAGGCTGTTGCCAAGCACTGAACACAGAAGGCTGCTCATTTCTTCCTGCATTCCTTAGTCATTTACACCCAAATCCCTTTTAAAAATAAAAACATACACACAGAGAAAGCCAATGTTTTCCTTAATTTACTTTCCGTAGGTTTGTGCATATTTTAACCATCATAGTTTTTTTGCTTTTTTTTTTTCTTGAGTTAGAGTCTCACTCTGTGGCCCAGACTGGAGTGCAGTGGCTGCTCCCGGCCACCGGCCACCGCAGCCTCGATCTGCTGGGCTCTGGCGATCCTTACGCCTCAGCCTTCCAAGCATAAGTCAGACTCTTGCTCTGTAACCCAGGCTGAAGTGTAGCAGCACAATCAAGGCTCAATGCAGCCTCAACCTCCCAGGCTCAGGCAATCCTCCCGCCTCAGCCTCTTGAGTAGCTGAGACTACAGGCATGTGCCACTACGCCCAGCTAATTTTTTTTTATTTTTTGTAGAGATGACTTCTTACTATGTTGCCCAGGCTTGTCTCGAAATCCTGGCCTCAAGTGATCCTCTTACTTCGGTCTCCCAAAGTGCTGGGATTACAGGCGTGAGCCACTATGCCCAGCCATAGCTTTTGAATTCATATATAATTTTGCCAACAGTTTTCAAAAGTTCTACAAATCCAGTGTGATAAATCTATAAAAGCTTTAGGTTTGTGCCTTTAAGAAGAGATGAGAATATTTCTAGTTAATTTGCTAATGACATCTTTGAGCTGCTTTGTTCATCAAGGATGCATGTCCCTTTGGGAGTCCCTCTGCAGGTACTGCTCCTAGGTGTCTTTACTCACCAGCTACTGCAGTGATTGGCACAGCTTTAAACTTCACAGAAACATCTGCAAATGCTCCTCCTGTTCTAGTCACATTGATAATGGGTCCCACATGGTTTTCTGCCACTCGAACAATTGGCGCTGAGAGCTGAAGCGTCCCAAAGGCATCATCATTGGCAATAATAATCAGATGGGCAATCGTCTCTACCTTCGGTCCAAGGCGTGGAGAATTTGGAACTGAAAGAAGATCCAAACAAAACACAGAAAGTTATACGAGGGGGCACCTCCCCCCCCCAAAAAAAACGGAATTATTTTTTGGAGAAGTGGGCTCCTTGTAGTACAGGCTTCCCCCACAGGTAAGTGTTCTAGAAACCCATCGGCATCAATGTACCAGCTGGCTGCATTCAGCTTCAGTGAAAAAATTTTTTTGAGATTCAATGCACTTGCCCATTTCATGATGGATGGTTTACAAGCACACCTGCCCACACTGTGTGACTGTTCAAAAGTTCTTGACCAAAACTGGCATGACCTCCATGCCCTACCCTCCCTATTCACCTGATCTCACCGTTAGTGACTTTTTTTGTTTCCCCAGATGAAAAAAGTCTTCAAAGGAAATATTCTGTCAGTGTGGAAGAGGTGAAAAAAAAAATGGCAGAGGCACTAAAAGGCATAAAAATTGAGGATTTTAAAAACTGTTCTGAGTGGTAGAAAAGGTGCCTTGATAGGTGTACTGCATCATATGGAGAATACTTTGAAAGTGACTGAAGTTTAAACATGTAAGAGTAAATACACTTTTGTAAATAAATAAATTCCGGATTTTCGGGGGTCCTCCCTCATATCTAAATTCTAAGAACTGGCCAAAGTCATCAGGGAACCTCAACAAGATTCTATCAGCCAAATGGGATTCTCATTTGGTGTTTTCTCTCTACTACAGATATTTAAAAATATTTATTGGTTAAGATATGGCAGTGTTAATCTAGACTTTGGGGATACAAAAGTAAATTAAACAGAAAATCCCTTCTAGCTTACATTTTAGGAGATTTTTTATCACAGAATATGTAACAAAGCAAGTTATACTACCAGAAAATTTTAGTATGTATTGGAAATTTAGCAAAAGAGAAAAAATGATGAGGGTGTAATTAGTCATCACTTTACATAATTACAACAGGTAATGATAAAACCTACAGAATGATGCTCTTCTAATTAGTTTCCTGCCATGCCATTAAAACAAAACAGCATTTATGTTACAAAACTGAGTAGGAAAGTAATTTAGTTCCTTGACCTCAAAAACCAGTTGCAAGTCATCATACTCTAAAATCCTGCCTCTCAAACAGCTTCACTGTCTCCCCTGACAATCCTGTTCCTTCCTGCCCAATCCTAGTTAACAGGTCTGAACTACTTCGTTGCTATGGTCTGAATGTTTGTGTTCCCCCAAAATTCATAGAGTAAAATCCCAACCTCTCCCAACCCCTGCCACCAGGTGACAGTATTAAGAGGTGAAGTCTTGGGGAGGTGATTAGGTTATGGGGATGGAGCCCTCATAAATGGAATAGTGTCCATATAAAGGGGTCCTAGAGAAATCGGCCCCTCATCCTTTACACCTTGTGAGGACACAAAAGAAAAGGCATTCATCTGTGAACTAGGAAGGGGACCCTCACCAAACACGGAATCTGCTGGCTCCTTGTTCTTGGCACTTCCCTGCCTCCAGAACTGTGAGAAATAAACTTCTGTTGTTTATAACTCATCCAGTCTATGGAAATTTGTTATAGCAGTCCCCAATGGACTAATACACTAGTTGGGAAATCAGAGTCAGCCTCAATGCCACATCAACCCTGCTGTAGGTCCGTGTGCTCAATAATTTTAAAGCTCCCCTTTTACTTGCTATTGATTTCAGAGATAGTAATGCTTGTTTTAAAGACATGTAGGACCTCCAAAAACTTTCCCTGACTTATTTTCTAGGTTTAATTCCAACCAACGCTCTAGCCAAAACAATTGAAAAGTGAACATTTAACACAAATGAAACATAAGCAAACTCTTACTAGAGATACTCAATTTTGAATTCATATTTGCAATACTTTGAGTATAAATAAAATTTAATGTTTTTAAATAATTTAAACTAAATGCAAGTAGTGACACCATTTAATTTCACTGATGGGACTCAGCCTATTCTTAATTATACCACAGTTAAAGTCATAAACTATGAATCAATATAATAAAATTAAATTCAACCAAATTAGAAAGGAATGACAGTAACAGAGTTGTAGCAGCAGGTGACATTCTCTGAGAGTGGATTACAGGCAGAGCATTCTTCAATCCCACACCATCTCCCTGTGGTAGGAAAGACTCTACCAAGGAGCAATCCAGAGGTACAAAGAAGTTGAGGCAGTTACCTAAGGCCTTATAACAGCACCTGTTGGACACAAGAAGTGTCTTGTGAGGGCCTGCCTGATCTACTGTTTCCCATCTTCAATTCCTCACCAAACCAGATACAAAATCTTCAGCTATCCATGACTGTTCCTCTGCCCTATACTTTCACCCAGATGTTACTGGCCAGTCTTCTCACACTGCCCTCCTTACTCACGAACATCAATGCTTATATTTCAAGCCGGGTAGCAAACATCCTATCACATCCTACGTTGATTTTGCCTATTAAATTTTTAGTGCAAATCACATGTATTTGCATGTAATTGTTCTTTAATTATCCCACATCATAGCTTTATAACTATTCTGAATTGTCCCAAGTATGTTGCATGGTTCCAGGAATACATTGAGCATAAAGTATATGTTGTTTCTTTCATCTCACAGCACATACATATTCTCCATATACCACTGTATTGATAAAAATTGCTCCTATTTGGCTGGGCACTCACACCCTTAATCCCCAGCACTTTGGGAGGCTGAGGCAGGAGGATTGCTTGAGTCCTGAAGTTCGTGACCAGCCTAGGCTACATAGCAAGACCTCATCTCTACAAAAAATTAACCAGGCATGGTGGTGCACACCTGTAGTCCCAGCTACTTGGGAGGCTGAAGCAGAAGGATCACCTGAGGTCAGGAAGGCAAGACTGCAGTGAGTTGTGATTGTGCCACTGCACCCCAGCCTAGGTGACAGAGTGAGAGCCCAACTCAAAAGAAAAAAAAGTTCACATTTATTGCATGTTAACATAAGCTAGATATTGTATTAATTTTTACATGCAGTACTATCATATTTAATCTTCATGATACTTCCATATTATAGATAGGGAGACTAGAGCTTTAAAACATTATGTGTAACACCTTATTACTACACATTGGTGCATAAGTTCTGACACCAACAGCCACATCTCCTAGCCACTGATATATGCTATACTCACGCCTGATCTTATTTCTGGTTCGAAACTGTGAGTTCCTTGAAACTCGGGCTGTGTTTTATGATTCTGACTTAAGAAAACTAAACGTTGGGTTTTATTTTCTTTGCTATTGTAAATGATCCTGAACCATACTTTAAAAAAGAGGTGGGGAGTATTGTGTGAGAATTTTAACCTTGACTGTAATCTGAAGATTTAATGTTCACAATTGCTCTATAAAATGAATTGATTTCTATAACCATGGACAACAATCATTTACACTATGGGGAAGAATGTTGCTCACTCTATACGTATATTCATCCACATACTCCAGTGAGGTAAATAAAGAACCCTCAATCCAGATGGCAGAACACAGGCCACATGCAACCCCTGGAATCTTACATTTTAAGCTATGCAACCAGTTCCCTAAAGAAGGTTTTACTTGTGTTCCTAAACATATTGCCCTAAAATTGATAACAAACTAGTATCACTGCTTTTTCTTCCTTTATTAGTTCCCTTATTCCAGGAAATCTAGATTATTCTCTTTACTTGAAAACACCTTTCTGGAGTCATAGATCCTTTTAGAAAGATGTGACTGATGAACAAGATACAACACAATAGCTGCTTTCAGCTCCACAAGCTCAAGTCCTGCTCCCTCCCAGTGCTTGACACACATACTCTCTGCAAACCAGCTGGCCAAAACCCAAGGAGCCCGGCCACTACTTTTCAGCAGAAGTTGTTGTGCCAGGTCCTCCCAATACCATTCTCATTCCTCATTCTTAATCCAATCAGTGCTTTCTTCACAAACGTCACAGTGACCCAACATTTTCATGATTTCTTACTGCTACACAACTCTGTCCCCCTCATGCAGCTGCTAGATCCACAAGCTTTCGTCAATACAAAGAGCTCCTGTTGGTTAGGGAATCCTCCAGAAATGGATCAAGATGAGAGAGGCATGGGCTCTTGTCCCTAGGACTGTCCTTGGACTCCTCACATTAATTCCAGAATGTTTTGGAAGCTACAATATACAGTACAATAGGAAGAGAGGCCAGTTGCCTATGGATTACATAAAAGGTTCTAAAATGTAGTCTGGGAATGTAACTGACTTTTAAAATATGTTTTCTTTTTTTTTTTTTTAGTTGGAGTCTCACTCTGTCACCCAGACTGGAGTTCAGTGGCCGCTCCCGGCCACCGCAGCCTTGCCTGCTGGGTTCCAGCGATCCTTCCGCCTCAGCTTCCAAGTAGCTGGAATTACAGGCATGCGCTACCATGCCTGGCTGATTTTTTGATTTATTGTAGAGATGAGGTCTTGCTGCCCAGGCGGGTCTTCGAACCCGCGGGCTCAAGCAATCCACTCACCTCAGCCGCCCAAAGGCGCAGGATTACAGGCTGAGCCACCGAACCCGGCTTTAAATATGTTTTCAAAGGAAAAAAATGTCCTGCTTCGAGTTGCCTTACAGGTGAACTTTTTAAGAAAATGCTCTCAAAGTTAGAGTTTACTATTTTTACAGAATTTCCTATTGCACCCAATTCAAAATTGGCTTGAATTAGGATTCTTATCACTACTACTAATAATAACAACATACTAAGGGATACTTACTTGGACGGTTCTGTACTTTCTCTATTAAAGTAGAGTTGAGTAATTCAATAAACACAGACTCCGATCTTTCTGGTTCATCATCATCTAAAATTGATATAGCTATCGTTGCCTCACTCTGATTAGCTCCAAAAAAGGCAAATCCAGAAGTTGGTATATAGTCTCTCCCTTGAGTTGCTCTGGCTAAATTAGGTGGAAAATAAGGTGGTTTTTCCATGTCATCTAGTGTTGCATATGAAACCATGACTTTTCCCATGAGGCCTTTCAACCTTATAATCGACAGCGAGATGTTCTGGGTTGCTTCTTCCACGTTAATAGGTCTGTTTTTCTCCGAAAAGATGAATACCCCATGAGGATCATCACTAGCCAAAACTGTTAATGTGGCATTAGTATGAACTCCCAAAGAACCCCTAGAGATGCTGAGGATTGACACAGAGAATGCCTTATCCAGTTCTGGCTCTTCATCTGGCAATATTTCCACGGTGATGTTGGCTGTCGTCTGCCCAATCTCAAACGTGAGGTTGCCAGAGGTGAAGGCTAGATCACCATCAGGATCAGAGTCTATGTTCCAATGCAAAGTCACCTGAGACAGAGCTCCATAATGTCTCACAACCTATACAATATTTAAATGAATTAAAGAGAGGTTGAAACCAATGACTCAAAGGTTTATAAACATATAACAGCAGCAGCATAATACATTTTAATGTTAAATAAGTGATTCTCAAAACTATGAGATTATTGAGGGCAGGGCCATACACTACCTGTCTTTGAATCTTAAAAGTGGAGGGTATTTGAAAGTTGATTGTTGTATGAAATTAAAAATTGGTAGAAATTTTCTAGCTTCTAACTAAATTACAGATGTATCTTTTATGCAGTTATCATGTCAGTAATAAATCAAATATGATTAACAATATATTATATTTAAGCATACATGAAAAATTTTATATTCACTACATAAATAATGTCTACTTTATTGTAAGGACTAGATTAATGATATTTTTCTGAAAAGTTCACAATAAAACTCACTTTTAAAACAAATCATATTTCTCTTTATCTTTGATATATTATGATAAACTCACCAAAAAAAAAATTAACCCAAGGTATATTAAAATACATTTAAGAAGAAACATATGCTTTTGTCAATAATATAGTAAGAAGAATAAGAAGCTTAAAAATTACTCCAAGTAAATCCCAACTAAAAGTAAATTTGGTTTATACAAAGATGACAAAATATTGGCCCCCTCCCCTGCCTTGGGAGGTGAATCCCCTCTCTCCCTCTCTTATTTACTTTCTAAATAAACTATATTATCTAATCTAAAATAAAACAAAATAACACTCTAAATAAAACTAGTGACAGTAATTTTATTAATTGGTCCTTTCCTTTAATCCATTATTTTTATTTCCTGAATAATCAGTTTCTATTCTCAAGTTGTGTGATTGATTCTACAACAGTTTATGGAAGACCCGCCATAATAGTACAGAAGGGATGTGTAAAAGTGTTTTCTTCATTATTTGTGTAAAATCTGAGGAAACTGATCAAGCTGCCAGCTCTTCTAAGTCACTGAACAATGAATCCTTCTTAATTTCTACTGGAACAAAGCAGACACACACACACACACACACACACACACACACACACACACACACACACACACACACACCCCATATAGAGTTGGTATTATCACTGCTGTGTTGAGTTTTTTCTCCTTCCAATAGTGAAGCCAGGACTGCAGTTCTAGGCTTGGACTTGAGACCTGCTTTGACCAAGTGGAAATGATGCAGATCCCTTCCAGAGAGAAGCCACAGGAGCCACTGTGAAGCAAAATCTCTAGAATCCCTGGTCCCTAAAGTAACCAATGAACAGAGCCCCTGGTCAGCTGAAGTTGGGCATACACACACTATGAATGAATACCAAGCTTTGCTGTATGAGCCACTGAGAGTTTGGAGATGTGTGTTACCACAGCCTACCTGAATTCATATAAAAGTCTATGTAAGATAAACACTCACAGGGCAGTTCTATTATATTCCCTAACGTTAGATGAGGAATTCTCTGAATAATAAAAGAAATCCATATACAAAACTAAACACAAAGACAAACGCCAAATCACTATCTGATTATCAATTTATATTGTCTGTGCCAATAGACTCATTTCCCTTCATCTACACAGATTTTAAAAAAAGCATAAAGCATAATCTCATAATACAATACAGTTTTTAAAAGAGTAGAAAGTATCTAGGAATGAAAAGGAAAACGTACTCACCTTTAATACAACTGTGCTGTGCCCATCTTCGGGTTCAGTTCCACTGACAAAGAGTGACTCAGGGCTAAATTCAAATACGCCATGAGCATGGTCCGAGGCTCCGATTATCACTAGAATCTGGGAAGCCACCCCTAGACTGGCTGCAGAAACAAGTTCCAACAAATACCAAAAAAAAAAAAAAAAAGAAAAAAAAGTTAATCAGTAATTTACAAACCTAAGGAAAACAGCCAAGGAGCAACGTTTTGAAAAGAATCCTTCCATTCATAGAGCACATTCTAATTTGTTTTAGAAAGAAAGGCAGACAGAAATGGGTGCCACACATATTCATGCTTTTATGACCTTTCTCTACTTTGGCACCAACGGGATGTACAAGTGCTGCATAAGCACTTGAAGATGAATAAGGAAAACTTGTTTTTCTTTTTCCTCTCTATGAAAGAGAACATTCTTCCATACAGAGTATAGGAGGAAGGTCTCCCACGACCTTTGCTGACCTCAAAAGAACATGAGCCAAACTGACTCGTACCTTTATGAAATCGTAAGTAGTTTCCCTATGATGTTAGCCAATCTGACTGAACAGATCCTGGGTTTCTCACGTGCATTAACTCTAGGCTTATTTTTTTCATCATATGGTGAGATGATAAATCTATTTCTCATGATCCCAAATAGTCCAACCCTGTAACTAAAGAGGAGCCAAGCTCTAAAGCAGCATTTAATTTTTTCCTAAAAATAATGTTCAAATTATAGTCACACCATAAGAAAAGGATTGGCTGCTGTGGGAAACTGTGGTGGGGGCGGGGGGCGGGGTGGCGGGATTGGCAGTAGTGGGAATCTTCAGGGGGAGGGCACATCTCATCAACAAGGGTACCTGCATAATGAACATCTGTATACCTAACCTTGAATTGTACCCCACATCCTTAAAATTTAAAAAATTGTGTTCGATTTTTATGCTGCATTAATGTTTGCAGACACGAAAATGAACAACCCTAAAAGTAACAGAGTAAATAAATACAGAGGATGCATGGGTATTGATGGAAGTTAGGAATGAGAGGAGTAAAAATGTGAGTTTCGACACTAAAATATACAACATGACATTGTAAAAAAGGAACATTTGGGGATAAGAGAGTGTTCTCCTTCAAGAAAAAAGAATATTCTAAGTAACTTCGGAAGGAAAAGAGCTGAGTCATGTTTATATATGAATCGACTTCAAAATGCATTTTCTTTCCAATATTCCCTTCATAGACTGACAACTATTTTCTCATTTAATTTTCTCCTAATTTCTTTTTCTCGTTGGTTTTGATTAAATTCTACGTGTAAAGACTCACAGTTCTTTTTGTACATAAAGTAAGTGTGAAGCATTTAATGTGAAAATACAAACATTCTATTTAATCTCTTTCTAGGTATTCAGAGCTATGTAAAATATTTTTCAACAGTCATTTTTACAAGTGACATTCAAGCAAAATTTCTATCAGAATTGGAATCAGGAAACAGCATTCAATGCATACAAGGAGGCTGCATTTCAGAGGCAGACTGGGACATGATTCTGACTTGAACACTTACTAGTTGGGCAACTGACATGGAGCAAGTAATATGTCATAAAGTTGCTGCAACAGTTAATATGATAAAATATGTAAAGGATCTACACATAGTAGGTATCAATAAGTGGCTAGGATTGTTGTGTCTAAAAAGAGAAGTTAAAATGAAAACATATAATAGTAAAGGACCTTGGAACAGCTGCTTACCACGTTTGTGAATAGCTGGAAGGAAGAATTCCATGTCCCCATCACCACTACCACTGCCATCAACCCTAAGGAGTTCAGCCACTTCACAAAGACACATACAGAGACACAACCCACACAACACACACGGATACAATGAGAAAATGGAGAGTTCTTAGAACATATCAAGCAAAGGGGAAAATGCAGTAATATCCACCCAATGACATGCATTCTTCTATAGGAAACAGATCATTTGAAGTGGTAAAACTATAACAGTAGTCAAGCTGTCAAATTACCAAAATTGTATTCATAGTTTAATGAAATCACCATGTAAATTATTTCCCATTTCAGCCAACCTAATATCATTTTAAAATTTTCACTTATTTATAGCAATATGCATTGTCTTCTAGCATCTTAGATATTTAAAACTTATTTATGTGTAAATATAATCATACACTTAGGCCTATATGCCTCTGACAATCATCTTACCATTCCCAATAACCTACTCAATTTAAGGAAAGGCATCTAACATTTCCCTCCATCCAAACATTCCAACTCTCACCGTATTTATCATTCTTAGACTTGATCACTCTCTTGCCACTGATCTTGTGGAAAGAACCCTAGACAAGCAGTCTAAAAATTCTGCTTCAGTTCTGGTTGTAAAAGATACCAGTTGTCAAAACCTTCAGCAAGTCATTAGACCTCTAGGTATCTCAGTCTTCTCACATATGAAAGGTGCTGCCTTAAATGGAAGTATTGTTGCTATGGTCTGAATGCATCCCCCAAGGTTCACAGGTTGGAAATTTAATCCCCAGTGCAACAGTGTTGAGAGATAGGACCTTTAAGAGGCGATCAGTTCATGAGACCTCTGCCCTCGTGAATGAATTAATGTTGTTATCTTGGGAGGGGGTTCGTTATTGCAGAGTGCAGCTTATAAATGCAAGCTCGGTCCTCTCTTGTTCTTTCACCATGTCAAGCCTTCTGCCACACTATGACATAGCAGGAAGGCCCTCATCAGATGCAGTCCCTCAATCTTGTATGTTTGAGACTCCAGCACTATGAGAAAAATAAACTCATACATTTGTAAATTACCCAGTGGTATTATGTTATAGAGGCACAAAATGGGTTAAGAGAGTTGCAAAGATCAAATAAAATAATGGAAAATAAAGAATAGTATAATAATATAAAGTGCCTTGGCAATAGATGAGGATTATAATAAAGAGAAAGTGGTTATAGCATTTCCTCTAATATATCATATACCCCAACCATTATTTTACCATCGTTTGCAAACAAGTAAGATAGGGCAATGAGACAGCAATGGAAAAGTAGAAGAGTAAGAAAAGCAAAGCCACATCCACACATGCGTGCTTCTGCCAACATTCTTGATGGACATGCTGGTTTAAGATCTCCCTGCTCTTCTGTTTTTGCCCTGTTTATCCTCAATAGGACTGGGATATACCAGATGTGAGGATTTATGGCACCTAAAACCACCTTAGAGAACCTGAAACCATCTTAGAGACTTAAGAGGTAAAATGAATTTCCAGCAAATATTCAGTACGTAGTGGCTCCCACATTGTCCAGAAGTCATAAGAAAGATGTATGAAGTTCAACACCATACATACTTTGGCTAGCACAAAACCTCTACTCTGACTGTGGCTACTTGATGTAGAATTCGTTTTATAGACAGCATAAAATAAGAGGTGCTCCCTTGACTCTCAAAAGAATTTCGTTCTATAAGCCACTTCATATATTAGGCAGTCTCTATATATGAGTCTGGGAGTGGAGGTCATCTTCTAAATCCATTTTCCTCCAATTCCAACTCACTGGGGGTAAAAAAAAAAAAAATCAAACAATCTGCCACTACTGTTTCCTAAGAAACTGCAAGGTTGGGTTACAAATGAGTATTCACATTTAATTAATACAGTAAGTCCCAGCCAGGCTCGGTGGCTCAGCCTGTAATCCCGCGCTTTGGGAGGCTGAGGTGAGTGGATTGCCTCAGCCCACGGGTTCGAGACCCGCCTGGGCAACTTGGCGAGACCTCATCTCTACAATAAATCAAAAAATCAACCAAGCGTGGTAGTGCACGCCTGTAGTTCTGGCTACTCGGAAGGCTGAGGCGGAAGGATCGTCGGAGCCCAGCAGGTCGAGGCTGCGGTGGCCGGGAGCGGCCACTGCACTCCAGTCTGGGCGACAGAGTGAGACTCCAACTTAAAAAATAAATAAATAATAATACAGTAAGTCTCCTACATAGGAATGAGTTTCATTCCAAGAGCAAATTCAAAGTCCAATTTGTTCTAAGTCCAACAAAGCACTCAACTAACACAATTGGTTACACAGAACCAGCTGCATCACATTGCTTTTACACTTGCTTTCAGACATCCTGGGCTTGAAATAAAGATTCTGTGCTACTGTACTCTATACAGTACTGTACAGTAAAGTACACAGAAGCACAACCACTTGTAGAGGATGCACACAGGTGACAATGTACGCAGGTGACAATGTAACTCACATGACTGGACATGCAAACATACATTCACATCTTTGAAAGTTCACAACTTGAATATTCGTCCATAGGGGACTTACTATATGTAACAATGCATATACTAGGGATATGGGGGAAGCTTTTCAATGAATTTGCATGTATCACTATGATCACAAATGGTTGTATGATCACAAGTACCATTATTATCTCAAGACTATCTGATATTCCATTATTCATCAATATTAAGTAACAGTCACTTGCATTTTCTCTGTTACATAGTGTTTTTAGCTGTAATACAAAGGGCAGCTATTCAAATATTTTGTAGAACCTTTTTATTAATGAAAGTCTTGTCATAAAAATAACAATTTGCAGATGTGAGGACTTGCCTCTGGAGGACAAGCAAAGCCAGGCAGGTCACCCAGTGCATTCTACAGTGTCCCACATTCAACCACGCTGAGGCCCTGTGCGATCCAACTCCCCACTCCCAACACTCACTTAGTCTCCTTTGCCTTCACTAGTGGTTTGGGAACACAGGAAAGAAAAATGTGACATATTTACCCCAGAGTCCTACTGGGGTAAAAATAATTGCAATATTTCTGTCCCACCAATTCTTTCTTTGGATGGCTTATATATTATGACTTTCTTCATCAAAAAGATAAAAGTAATAACAATAATGAGATAATAATACTAGATTGTATTGTGGAAGGGACTGTCTCGAGTTCTTACACTTATAAAGGTAATACAATGCACATCACATGCTTTCTATAACACTCCCAGGAGCACCTGATAATTAAACACATTAATACTTCTGCAAAGAAACATATATAGTCCAACAAAATGGCATAAATATGATAAATAGCCTCACTTAATGTAGATGAGTTTTGCCATGAAATGAGTTTTAACTCCAAAAATTTTTGATAGTCAGAGCTTTCTGACTATCCTAATTTGAGGATAAGGTATTCTTGACCTCTTTTATTAACAATCATCATCAGATAATTGGTTATCCCAAACGACTATACTTTACCTGTGTTATATATGGAGCTAGCTCTAACAGAGCTATAGTAAAAATTGGAAAAGAAGGAAAAGAGAGAGGTGGTTTTAGGGTCATCTGCTATGAGTGACAACTATAATTTGGTGACTGGGTACAATTGTACTACTTCACCCTAAAAGCATATTGACTCTAGGAAAAAATAATTGAGTAATAGAAGGGGTTTTTTTAAAAAAAAGCACAGCCGGGCACAGTGGCTCAAGCCTGTAATTCCAGCACTTTGGGAGGCTAAGGCAAGTAGATTGCCTGAGTTCAGGGATTCGAGACCAGCCTGGGCAACTTGGCGAGACCTTGTCTCTACAATAAATCAAAAAGTCAGCCAAGCGGAAGTTCTGGCTACTTGGAAGGTTGAGGCGGAAGGATCCCTGAGCCCAGCAGTTTGAGGCTGCAGTGGCCATGAGCATGCCACTGCACTACAGCCTGGGCAACAGAGTGAGACTCCAACTAAAACAAACAAACAAACAAACAAACAAAAACACACTAGGTGGAATCTATATAATAAACAGAGATATTACTCAGAATTAACCAAATCTATCTAAATGCAACCAAGTTGGATATTAATTAATAAAACAAATACTCGCCAGGCTCGGTGGCTCAGCCTGTAATCCTACGCCTTTGGGAGGCTGAGGTGAGTGTATGGGAGGCTGAGGTGAGTGTATTGCCTGAGCTCGCGGGTTCGAGACCCGCCTGGGCAGGCGAGACCTCATCTCTACAATAAATCAAAAAAGTTAGCCAGGCGTGGTAGCGTGCACCTGTAGTTCCAGCTACTTGGAAGGCTGAGGCGGAAGGATCGCCAGAGCCCGGCAGGTCGAGGCTGCGGTGGCCGGGAGCGACCACTGCACTCGTCTGGGCGACAGTGAGACTCCAACTCGCACTCGTCTGGGCGACAGTGAGACTCCAACTCAAAAAAAAAAAAAAAAATACTCAGCAGGGCCCAGTGGTTCATGCCTGTAATCTCAGCACTTTGGGAGGCCAAGACAGGAGGATTGCTTGGGCCTAGGAACTCAAGACCAGTCTAAGTAACTTAATAAGACCTTGTCTCTACAAAAAAATCAGAAAACTAGCCAGGAGTGTGGCTTGCCTGAAATCCTAGCTAATTAGGTGGATGAGGTGTGAGGATCACTTGAGCCCAGAAGTTTGGTAAGCTGTGATGGTACCACTGCACCCCAGGCTGGGTGACAGAGTGAGACCTCAACTCAAAAATAAAACCTCAAAATTCATGTAGAGAAATGGAAATTACTTTTTACCAAAAAGAAACTATCAATCGGAAATGATTGATTTATATCATGTTACCATATATAATTATATATATTGCCAAATACAGAGGAGGGTATCAAAAAAACTTGGAACTTATTTTTTATAAATTGTGTATTTATTCTTGTTTAAACTTCAGGTACTTTCAAAGTACTCTCCATTAGATGCAATATATCTATCAAAATGCTTTTTCCACTGCTCAAAAGCTTTTGAACTTAATTTTGATACCTTTTAGTACTTCTGCTGTTTTTTTGTTTCACCTCTTCCACATCAGCAAAGTGTTCCCCTTTGAGGACTTTTCTCATCCAGGGAAACAACAAAAAACAATATCTCAGGGTGAGATTAGGTGAATAGGGAGGGTGGAGCACAGAGGTCATGCTGTTTTTGGTCAAAACTGCTGAACACTCAGCCTGGTGTGTGTAGGCGTGTTGTCATGGCAGAAAAACCAGTCACCTGTTTGCCACAACTCAGGACATTTCTTCAGCAAATTGTGATGCAACCTTCACAAAACTTCAAGTTAAAAAACAATGGGTTTCTAGAACACTTACCTGGCGGGGGAAGCCTGTACTACAAGGGGGCCCACACTGCAAAAAAATAAATCTGGGTTTTTTTGGGTCCCTCATATCATATGCTATGATATAATGTGTGTGTGTGTGTGTGTGTGTGTGTGTGTGTGTGTGTGTGTGTGTGTGTGTATTTATATAAAATGACATGTTACCATATATCTGAGGCAATTATTAATCTTCAGGATGCTCTCTCAATTTATTCTGCTTCATTTTTAAAAATAAAGTTAATTCAAAGGAACACACATCAGTGATAGGATTTACTGGCATCATAGTGGGTGGATAAGAAAATATCTGACATTTTTGAATCACCAGTCTTACCTCCTCCCTCCAAGTTTAACAGCTCAACTTTAAAAGATTTTTCCAGCTCAGGGACAGAATTATCAGTGATATTGACAGAAATATACTTATATCTTTCTCCTGTTTGAAATTCTAATGTGCCAGCAGCACTCTGAAATACAAACAAAAGATTCATCCATTAGATCATAATTATTCTGTATAAAAGTTTGTAAAATAAGAATGCTTGCTATGTGCCAAATTGTTATAAATACTGAAACAGAAGAACATAAGTAAAAAAAAAATACAAAATTAAAAACATTTCAATGGCTATAAATAGTGTTCAATGTAAATTCTAAATAAATATTCTCCCATTAAATCAAGTAGATGTGTTTTTATTTTTCTTAGTTGCCTATTCATCAAAAAAGTACTCAACGTAAATTAAGAAATCCTAATGGGTGACTTCCACAAGAATTACTTCAATTAGATGCAAAGAATTCTCTTGACCAAGCTTATGAAATTATGAGTATATCATTTAGAATCTTAAATACTCAGTGCTTAAATAGTGGCATTTTGTTCTGAGAATCTCTCCAAACATTTATTATCATTATCAGACCATTTGACATTAATTTTTGCTTGACTATACTTGAAATTGCAATTCATAACATAGCTCTCTCTTCAGAAAAGTCACATACTTAAGAAAACAAACAGTAAATCAAAATCAAAATCTTAAAGTGATTTTTCTTCCATTATTTCATATGACCATTTTACCCTCAAGTTATGAGAATAAATTTTACAGATTTTAAAATTTTTCTAGTGTTAACTTACAGGCAATTATTTCTCATTTTATGGAAATGTTAACAATATTAAAGCTAAATTGAGGAACTCAAATGCCAATTCACTTGATCACTGATGTGTTTACTGTTCAGTATTTATCAAGCACATGGCATGTGCACTGTGCCATTTCAGATGCTTGGGATTCAAAAACAGCCAAGACAAAGCTTTGACTCCATGGAGAACATTCTAGGAGTGTTAAACATGTAATGAAATAATTCAAGTAGAATAATAATCACTGTAAATGGCAGTTAGGAGGAAGTAATTAACTTTGCCTAAAGTTTGGTACTCAGTGGAATAATTCCACAAGTCTTAACAACAGAACAGAATTTGACTGCCTTAGGAAACCATCTTACTTGATGGTTATATCTATATACCTGGCTACGCTTCTTCTGGATACATATTCTTTTCTGGTGTTCTATAATATCATGCTCTCCTGTTTTTCCTAGCAGACCCTTTTCAGTGTTTGCCAATTTTAACATTCTCCTTATGACCTTTAATAACTGTTGGAAAAGAGATGAGTATCACAAGTTCTCACTCATAAGTGGACCTTGAACACCTACCGTATTACTATAGGAAAGGTATTGAAAGTAGCGGGAAACTGCAGGGAGGGGTTCAGGGGTGGGTAGCTGGGACTGACAGTATTCGATATCCACCTGGGGAAGGGGGTCACACCTCAACAATAAGGGTACCTGCACAATGGACATTTGTATACCTAACCCTGAATTGTACCCCACAATTTCAAAATAAAAATTAAAAAAAAAAAAATGTTGGACATCAGACTCTAGTCTTTTTGTCTAGACATACCTATCATACCATAGGCTGTTAATAAAACTCATTTCTGTCTAGTTCCAAATCCCTGTGTATTTTTTGCCAGTTTCACTTGGAGAAACAAATAATCTAAAATTGAAAAGGCACGATACATCATTTCTTTGCAATTTTGGTTTGCTTGACAGACAAAGGTTAGAGGATGTAAAATATTTAAGAAACTTAATTTTTAATATATTGATCAAAACCTGTAACATTCAAACAAATAATACAAGCTAAGCCTATGACAAGTTATAGGTAGGGCACAAAGGAAATCAGTATGGTAGCTATTTCAGTGTCAACTATTTAAAGTGCAGTGAGACACTTTACATAAACTTAAAAAGCCAAACCTAAAGGCCATCAGTGCTTATCTTCCTCGTTCAGTATGGTCCAGGTACAGTGCAAGTCCCTTTCAGCCCTCCAAGAGAAGGATTGTGTCTGTTTCACAAGTGCAAATACAGCTCCAAAAGGACTGAGTGACTTGCCTGGTAGTCCTCGGGACTGAATGCTGTCAGGGACACGGTTCTAAATTCCGCAGTCACCCTGCCCAGAAGTCCTTGTGCTCGGACGACCAAAAGCCCGACTTCTCCGTCCTCCTCCTGCACAGTGATATTTGGGACAATGCTTGCAGGCAGGTTCATTGGGTCCCCAGGCTGAGGGGGCAGCCCCGTGGAGAACTGCAGCAAGCCTGAGAAGACAGAGGGCATAGGGCATTCCTTCTCCGATTATCCGCCGAAGAACTTCTCATTTGAAGCAAACTTGCGAACTGTATTGATCACCAGGCTAACGCAGACAGTCATCATTTAGAAAGGATTTTGGTGAGGATTTGATTAGCATGCTTTTGACATGGAATATGTTTAGAAGCTTTCACAATGTCAAAAATTAACTTGCTAATTTTCCTTGCCTTTACCCAAAGATTGTTTTTTTGTTGTTTTTTTTTTTACAAAAGCATCAATAAAAGGAATACTGATGGAGTTTTAAAATGTTTTCAAACATTTACTCAAGTCATTTTACAAAAGTCTCCAGAAATCATTCTAGAACTTACAGTAGAACAGGATTAACAGCACCCTAAAGGATCTACAACACTTTTTAAAAAAAAATTTAGCTATGAAAACTAGAGTTGAAGAGCCTCTTGGGTTTTCTACCAAGACCTTTTAACAGATGTTCTTTATTTATTTCCACAAAAAAAATCACTTTTCAATATGGAAAACATTCTCATTTTATTAGGATAGACAGCTATGATAGTTTTCCAATTAAGAAAATTATCACTTTTTAGCAAAAGACAAAAAGAAGTTAATATAAATAGACAGTGACAACTTCACTTCTTGAAGCTTAATGAAATGTAAATTACCAAGCACTTCAATTAGGTGTTAACAAATCACCAGAGAATAATTTTTATTTATTTATGAATTCATCTTTAATTTTAACTAAATTAATTTATTTATTGACTCAGTGTCTTACTCTGTCACCCAGGTTAGAGTGCAGTGACAGGATCATGGCTCGTCACAGCCTTGACCTCCTGGGACTACAAGTGCATCCGTCATACCTGGCATTTTTTTAAACTTTTTTGTAGAGATGAGGTCTCGCTATGTGGCCTAGGCTGGTCTCAAACTCCCAGGCTCAAGCCATTCTCCCCCCTTGGCCTCCCTAAGTGCTGGGATTATAAGTGTAAGCCACTGTGTCTGGTCTTAGAAGATTTTTTAAATTCAGGAAATTTTAGTAGTCATAAATACATACTCTTTTTTGCATCTTAAATATTCTTTTTTTTTTTTTTTTTTCAGTTGGAGTCTCACTCTGTCGCCCAGACTGGAGTGCAGTAGCCGCTCCCGGCCACCGCAGCCTCGACCTGCTGAGCTCCGGCGATCCTTCCACCTCAGCCTTCTGAGTAGCCGGAATTACAGGCGCGCGCTACCACGCCCGGCTAATTTTTTAATTTGTTGTAGAGATGAGGTCTTGCCTGCCCAGGCGGGTCTCGAACCCACGGGCTCAGGCAATCCACTCACCTCAGCCTCCCAAAGGCGTGGTATTACAGGCTGAGCCACAGAGCCCAGGTTGCATCTTAAATATTCTTGCAAAAACTTTCAAAATCATATTATTGAAGATCACAAATTGATCTTTGTATTTTCTTTCACAATGTCCATCAAAATAGCAGTTCAGTAGTTAAAGAGCTTAGAAGTTAGAGGATGTGAAAGCATTCTACTTCAATCATTTGCAAAAAGCTCCTTAAGATGTTCTTAACAAAATTAAGTGCACCCAGAGAAGAGAGAGTTACTCTTGCAAAACCAGTGATTACCGTAGGGATGGTCACTAGCTTTAATGGTGATATCTGTTGTTTCCTTCTCGGGATCTATGCTTGCACCACTGGTGGGGGTTGAGCCTAGCTTCCCATCTCCAGGAATGGCAGACACCAATGTCACACGGAAATACTCGTTCAGTTCAGGAATATCATCATCAAGAACATATATATTCAGGACCTATCGATACAAAAATTCAGAGGCATAAGCAACAAAACATGTGGAAGTTACTCACCAGAGGAAAATTAAGTAGCCAATTAAATCATATCTAAATGAAGTTACTATTTAACATGACTTATTTCTACATAAATTTAAATACAGAAACACACATATATATGTACATATGTGTGTGTGTGTTTACACACATTTATAAAGAAAAAAAGATAAATCTGAGGTGATCAATTCCTTAAATAATGGGTGCTGTTATGATCTGAATGTCTGTGCTCTCCAAAATTCATACACTAAATCAAACCCCCCAAGGTAGTGGTATGAGGAAGTGGGGTTTGGGGGAGGGGATTAGGGCTTGAGGGCAGAACCCCCATGAATGAGATTAGTGCTGAGGGTGCCATGTGCCCTCCCAACATGTGAGGACCCACTGAGAAGACACCCTATCTATGAAGCAGAGTGCACCCCTACCAGACACAGAATCAACAAGTGCCGTGATCTTGGGCTTCCCAGTCTCCAGAACTGAGCAACAACTTTCTGTTGTTTATAAATTATTCAGACGAAGGTATTTTGTTACAGCAGACCAAACAAAGGCAAGGGCTGAGCAGTAATATTTTCTGCCTAAAAGTATTCTATACATGCACTGATATCATATCATTTATTATATCTTGACATATATTACATATAGTCATATATAACAATATATATCAACATAATATCATAGATGCTTTGTACCAAAGACCATGGTATTTCCAATCACAGGTAGAGACTTCACAGTTTAGGAACTGCGTGTTCCCTGACAGGGTGTGGAAGGGCAGTCAGCAAGAACAACATATGTCTACCTACTGCCCGCTTATGGAAAGCCTGACATGCTCAGTAGCAATATTTTAGAAAGTTGCTTCACAATGAGTCCGAGAAGTCTGGCAAAAGCAATTAATCCAAAACAAAGATATAAAAGGATGCAGGATGAACTCAGCTATGCTCTACAAAATTTAAGAGTTTCGAGTGAAAAAATAATTTCTTTTTTCTTTATTAATTGAACAAACATGTTTTGACACATGCTTTTACTGGGGATAGACATGGCCCTAGTCACTAAGTAGCTCACGATCTATTGCAGGAGACAGGTCTACGAAAAAACATTTAAAATGTCACGTAAAAACATCAGAACAGATTCTGTACAAAACAGAGCAGTGAGGAAACTAACTCTACCTGGAAAGGCTTTACAATAGGCTGGCCAGAGCAAGTTCTAATGGAAAGTTGTAAGTAATAACAGGGAAGGACACTAAGCAAAGAATCACAACCCTGGCAAAGGCAGGGACAAGAAAGTACGTGACATAAAAGACACCGCAACTGGGTCACTGAGGCTGGAGGAAGAGATGAGGCTGGATGGATAATGAAGAGTCCGATCATAGGGCCCTTTTGGCCATCATAAAAAACGTAGGTTTCAAATAATAGAGAGTGAAGATAAACTGGAGTCCTAAGCAGAAAAGTGACATCATGAGAATTGTGTTAGAAGAAGTACCATGGCAGAACGTTAGTGGAGTGGGCAGAGCCAGGAGGATGAGTGAGGAGGTGACCGACCAGAAATAGTGAAATTCTGCACTAATCAGTAACCAAAGAGATAGGCAAAAATAGGTAGATTGCGATAGTCTAGAGGCAGAAGACCCAGGCTCAATGGCTCGCTAAATGTGGAAAGTGAGGGGCTGGAAGATGTCAAGGGGGACTTCCTAATTTTTCCTAGAAAAAAAGAGTGACAAGAGTCTGAAAATAAACTCTAAGTCCAAATACACTCTGAAACACAGATTGTTGGCTTCAAAGCACCTGAAGAACTTGTTTTTTTTAAATGTAGCTTTTCTAGAGATTTTGATTCTGTAGGTCTGAGGCAGAATTGGAATCTGGTTTTTTAACGTTCATTTTAATCATATTTTAAATTAAGGAGTAATACAAGGCACAGTCAGTGTGCTCAGAGAAGAGGTGCAAAAATGACACCTACTGACCAAATCATGCCATAATTCATGAACTAAAGGGAAACAGAAACTTTTAATTAGGTAATAAAATATTTTAAATAATACTTGACTGAAACATTTGCAACTATTTCACTGACCAAATTTAACTCTTATCTCTTTCAAAATGCATATACGCCTACTTTAAAGAACAATGATCTCCAGTTATATTTTTATTACATAGTAGGCAAATTTTCCAGAAGAAAATTTGGCCTATCAAGTCTTCTTTGCCAAGTAGATGCATTAAAACATTACCACACGTGATCATCATTACGTGATAAAAGAACACCAAATCCAAGAAAGAAGTGAAAAGAAAAAGTATCAGAATAAAATGCAATCCTGTAAATTAAGTAAGTTAAGCTTTATGAAAACTTACTGGTTGCTTGATTTTCGTCATCTTACCAAATATTGGTAGAACCTTTATCATGGACCTGCCTATAGCAAGGAATTTCTGTTGTAAGCTATTTGTTTCCTTCTTGTCCCAAATTATAGAGACCTGATCATTTTTCCTTAGCTCTTAGTCTTTGGATCTAAAGAATATTTTAAAGATTTCCTCAATTTTATTTTTTTATCTACTTAACTCCTGAAGTCCTCAATAAGTCTATAGCCATACCACCTTGAACATGCGTGATCTCATCTAAATCCCTCAAAAACTTCCTCAAAGATTATTTATTATTTACTATGTATGTATCCCTAATGATGGATAAGCGAACTACATTTCAGTATAATAAACTATACTGATATGCATATACCAACATGATCAATATTTAAATATTTTGATAAAGGAGGAAGCCTTATCCCAGTTTCACTTACCAAAAGTGTCGTCTAGGAAGCATCTATTCCAACATAGACTAAGGTTCATGGAAAGTTTTTTATGAAACTGAGGTCACTCATACTTTTGAAGCACAGAAGAATTACCTCATTTCTCCAAATGTAATGCAAATAAAATAAGATTATAGTTATAAAAATTTCTCACTGGCTGACTGGAAGAGCACCATTAAGAATTCTGTGGTTTCTCAAATCATGGAATTAGCAGCAAATTGGACAAAGCTGGAGACCATCATACTTAGTGATCTATCACAGAAACAAAGAACTGAATATCGCATGTTCTCACTCATAAGTGAGTTCTGAACATTGGTCACATTAGCACAGGGGAAGGATCAGCAGTGGATGGACACTGCCAAGGGAGAGAGGGAGGGAAGCAGCAGGCACGTAGCATCACAAAGGGTAACGAATTCTAAACCAGGGTAAGTGAGGGCCAGTTGGAGGTCCAAACTTCACCTGCATGAAGCCTGTTTGTGTCACTAATCCTGACTTGTGCTCTACATATCTTCAATTTTAAAAAAGAATAATAATTCTGTGGAGTCTCACTGAATCAGTAATAGCAAAAAACCCACAAGGTTTTTCTAGTTATGCCATGTTTATTACATAGGGATTAAAGAACAGATAAAAGATTAACATATATTATTCAAAATTCTAAATATTTTACTTTGCATATATAAATACAAAAATATTTTATACAAAGGTTATACTTAATATCCTCAATATATTCAATTGCTTACATAGCAAGAAGCTATAAAGAAATGACAGAGCAAACATATCAAGAGAAGCCTTCCAGGAAGCCTTTAAAGAAACAAAGATGGCAGGGTTTACCTCTGATCTCTGCCAAGGAAGGAACGTGATAGTTCCACTGGCATTGGCGAAATCATCAACAAGGTAATTAACGCCGTCAGATTCGATCTGTGAGATGGTGTAAAAAACGTGCACATAATCCAGCGCTCCTCTGGTGCGCTCCACCACACAGGAGATGGTGGATCCCTCCTCAGCCATCTGAAATTGAGCATAAATTATCTGTAGGTACACATTCAAATCAGTGACCCCATTACAACGCCTTCATGAAATCCTTTTATCACAAACTTAATTCTATCGCTTTCTGCCTCTCTCAAAGGGACCCAGGAGGCCTCTGCGTTCCCTCAGAGATATTTTAGACTGTCACTCATCAAGCGTTCTCAGGCGACTACAATGTCTCAAGAATTTTATTGGCGACTATGCAAGTGACTTATATGGTGCCAAGTCATATAAAGGGCTAAATGAGTTATTTTCCCCCTTAAAATATAGACACACATAACAAAAATGCTATATAAAAATATTACTTCCCTTTATAAAGAAATACATGTGCATTTTATGTAAAAAGCAAACTGATTCCCAGGTAATCTCACATAATCTATCACAATGAGAATGGATTTGCATCATTTTCCTACCCCAAATGTAATCCGAATGAATATTTTGGCTTTTTGTTTTGCTTTGTTTTGTTTGTATTTAATTACCTTGTTCACTTAGAAAGATAGAATCTTTTGAATGAGTTAAATTAATAAGCCATTAATCTCAACATGTAAATATTTAACCCTTCCCTTTTCCGCAAGAGGTATGGATTAAAGAGATCCAAGATACACTCAGGATGGTGGGATGGTTTCTTACAAACTTAAATTTTTATCAAGTCAACAAACATTACCATACAGCACTCAGGGTTTTTTTTAGGGGGTGGGTTGTTTACACTCACTGCAGCCTCAACCCCTGGACTCAGGTGATCCTTCTGTCTCATCTTCCTGAGTAGCTGGAACTACAGGCACATGCCACCATACCAGGCTAATTTTTTTGTAGAGATGAGGTCTTGCTATGTTGCCCAGGTGATCGTGAACTGCTGGGCTCAAGCAATCCTCCTTCTTCGGCCTTCCTAAGTACTGGAATTACAGGCCTGAGTGACTGTGCCTGGCCAAGAGAAGCTTTTTGTATGCAGGAGTCACATGAGCAAAACATATCTGATTGTATTTTCTTTTAGTAAACTCTTCATCAAAATCTATAGCTTCCTGATTATTTTCTGTTTTAAAAGCAAAAAAAAAAAAAATTCTATCCATATCCAATAAAAGCTTGTGCAGAAATATGCTACATATCAAAATTGTAAAGAAAATCTAATAAACTAGTATTTTTTAATAAAGGAAACTATGTAAAGTCCCAATTAGGGAAAAGCCTCAAAATATCAAGGACTCATAAAATAATCCCCTAGGATTCTTGTTAAAACCCTATCTTTAATACTTACTAATTTACAGAGAAATGAATAATGCCCGAAATTTGCTTTAAAAAATATTTTACCAAAAAAGATAAAAGAAAATTGGCAAAGGTTGATAATTATTGAAGCCAGGTGGTAGACACACTAGGATCCATTCCTGTATCTTTTTCTATTTTTGTGTATAACCTGTATATGAAATTTTTCATTTAAAATGATTTTTTTTTTAATTCACATTTTTGCCCCCCCTCCCCAGCCAGAGAGCTGATCCAGCAAAGGGGTCTTGAATGAGGAATTATGTCCAGTCATAGACATTAGCTATTTCCAACAAGGTCATCCGAAGGCAACACTTTGAGAAATATTGGACTCAAGGCTGTAACTATTAATACAGAAGGTGATTAAAACATAGAGAATGAATATCTAAAAGGGCTTTTCTAATATTAAAATATTCACCTAGTTGGCTTAAGAATCGTGATGCAAACATACATTTAGGCGAGTCGATGAAAGGGTATAGCATCACTAAAAGCCATCAAAACCATCCTCACTCCGTTTCCACTAGAAACAATCATGCTCACTATTATTTCCTCTTTTGAGTAGGGAATTTGCCAAAGGTTCAGATCAGCAGAAATGTAATAATAAAGGTAAACAATCAGAAGAGTTTTAAAAATCTATTTTCCAAGAAAAACTAATGCAATATTTTAAGCCATGAATTGGCCTTCTCTATTGAACTAGAAGATTAAAGCTAAACAATTACAAATCCAATTAATTTTTAATTTGGTTTCATGCTTGGGTGATGATTAGTGATATCAGATTATATCAACATCACTTATATCTACAGGAATCTATTCACGTGGCATATGGCAGGCACTTAAAAACAAGCACAGTCTAAGTTGAAATACTACTATTATTTTCATAAAGATCTTCCCAAAATGTCTTTAAATTGATTTTTAGGCCCTGAGTTCATAAAGGTAAAACATAATCCAACTACTAGTTATAAAAAATCAAATAATGAGACTAGCAAATTCTAAGAATCACTATAAAAGCAATCTCATTAATTTATAATTGTGTGGTATGCAATTTTGCAGGACACACAAAAACAGTGCTAAAATAAGGCAGAGAGAAAAGAACACAGAAAGTACACAGAATAACAAAATATAGGAAGGCACCATGAGAGTGCAGTTACTAGGCTACAGATCTAACAAAGTTCATCACGGATCCCACTTGGAATCCAAAGCACTGTCTAGCATGCTTCATCAGGGCTCAAACCGGCACACAGCCGTAGCCATTTTTTCAATTATAGTTTATTAAGCACCTGCTATCTGCCAAGATATGGTGTACCTAGTTAGTGGGAAACAAATTACAAAATAATTACCTTCTCTTTCAATGTACCAAGTAGCAGATTATTTCATATTCTATATATTTGCATTATTTTTTAAGATGCAATTCTGCCATCAAATGTAACCTCACTACTACTTTAGTTCCCATAAATCCATGAAAATATAAAAAGCACAGCATAACTCAAAAGTCTTTCAAGGGTCTCTATTGCCTCCAGAAATTTTGAAGGGATTAAAAAAAGTTTAATTTTCAATGTCATTGCAACAACATAATGGGAAAAAAAATCTACAGAAATGGCTGTGGTTTTTATTGCTATAAACAAAGCAAGTGACCACAAAATTTAAACTCTGAAGACAATTCCAGGCACAGAGTAAACCAGCAGTTCTTATATGTTTTAGTTTTAGGATCCCTGAACAGCGATCAATAGAGTTTATGTGGGTGAACTCTATTGATATTTACCAAATTACAAAGGAAAATTGAAAAATGTAAATATTGACTGATAACTACTTTTAAAACAGCAATAATAAACCCATTACATGCTAACATAAGCCACATATTTTTATAAGCATAACTATATTTTTCAAAATGAAAAAAACTAATGATAGAAGGCATTGTCTCATATTTTTCCAAGTCTCTTTAAAGTCTGACAATAGAGAACTAGAGTCTCCTATCTTCTTCTAGAAGCAAATTGTCTCTGTTATTTTGGTTGAAGTATATAAAGAAAATCCAGCCCCACAAAGATGTGTATCTGGAAAGGAAAAGGACTGTATAATAATCTTTTCAGACCATTGTGGGTATTCTTCCTTGATATTATACCAAAATATGACAAGCGGTGGTTTCTTAGATATTAGTTGCAATGTGGAAGCACATTCTAAGACATTAAAATCCAAAAGTCTACCTTGCAATTTGAGTCAATCTTTGACCCATGCTTAATTTTGCAACAATATGCATTGATTATTTGAAAGATATTGGTTTACTGAGTTATACAGATCTTCCAAATGTTGACACACTGTATTATACAAAATAATCACACTGGCGAATATCACTATCAATCTTATCTGAAAAGTTGTTAAGTACTGGGAAATATCAAGCTCATTTTGGTAGATAAAAGTGTTCCAAAATTCAAACGCTCATTGAAAGACTGAGTTATTATTATCAGCAAGAACTGTCAAGGTTTTCCTTGCAATCACTGGCTCACTCCATTCATTTACATGAAAATGTCCACAAAATACCCAAATCTAAATAACAAAAAATTGTCAATTTTTCAAGTAAAAATGGTGTTCTATGAAAAGAGCAACGAGTTCCACACACAACTCAGGATGTGCAAAAGCACTTTCCTTCAAGACAACTATTAAGTTTTGATTATGCAGCAGAAGCATTTTATTTATGCCTCTCATTTTGTGACACAAAATATTAAAAGACAGGTATTCAAGGGTTGAGATTTTATAAAATCACTATTTTTTTCTTTCTTCATCAAAGACATTTTTATGTGAAACTAGAAACTTTAAACTATGAGTACATGGTGGTAAGTGATAACTGGTACAGTCCAATGGCACTATCTTAATTGGTGCAAAGATGCTAGCAGCCAGCAGTTTTGGCCACCATTGCTTTTGCTGTGCAAATGTCAATAAAGAAAATGTGGTATGTATACACCATGGAATACTACACAGCCATAAAAAAGAACCAAACCATGTCCTTTGCAGTAATGTGGATGGAAATGGAAGCCATTATTCTAAGCAAATTAACACAAGCAGAAAACCAAATACTGCATGTGCTCACTTACAAGTGGGAACTAAACATTGGGTGCACACGGACACAAGGATGGGAACAATAGACACTGGGGACTTCTAAAGGAAGTTGGGAGGGGGGAGGGGGTTAAAAAAAAAGACCTATTGGGTACCATGACCACTACTTGGGTGAAGAGTTCAACAGAAGAAAGTCTAAACATCACCATCATGCAATATACCCATTGCAACAAACCTGTTCATGTACCCCTTGAATCTAAAACTTTTTTAGAAATTCAAAATAAATAAATGAAACGAAATGAAAAAGACAAATAACTTCTTAGTTTAAAACTAGGTTTGACTATGTAAATCCCCTGAAAGGCTCTCAGGAAGCCCCGGGGATCCTTGGGCCACACTTTGAGAATGACTTCAGTAAGTAATCAGTAAATATTGTTGTTGATGATGATAATGATAAGACTCCTTCAAATCACATCAAGGTGAAAGTAGGAGTTCTACACTTCTACTTTTAACATTTTCAGAAATGAGAATTCTGTCATCTTCATGACAGCCAAATGTCAATGCTTAGTTTTTTAGACTCAACAACAGTTTTCCTATATTAACCGTTTAAACATTTCTCCTTCCACTACATTCTATTTCTCTCCCGTATGTGCTTGAAAAATAGCTAACCGTGTTTTCCTTTTCTTTCCAGCAGTTACAATAGTTTAGTTGTGGTGGTAGGCCTATGTAGGGAAGTCCTCTATTCTGCAGTAAAGACTGGACTGGCCTTGCTCAAGTTCAGAGATTTTCGAGAAGAAGCAAAGTTACACCACTAGGTGGAGCTTAACCAATAACTACAACCTATCAATGGAACTTGAGAGACAAGTCACTGCTAAAGACTTAACTATAAAGGCTCAGAAAACCAGAGAAATGCTCAAAGATTAGTCTTCATTTTAGGCAAGTTTTTTTTTTTAATTGTTCTATAGTCTGTGTTTTTTTCCCCCAGTTTGATTATTTACGTAGTTTAACTGAATCTAAATATATCTGATATCTGAACTGCTATACACGTTTCCATAGCTTGATATTGAAATATATTTATATGACCCAACACAGGTTTATTGCGTACCCACTGTGTTCCGTTCTTGGTGTGATATAAACAGCAATAAACAATTAGACCCTTACTGCATTCAGAGCTCTTTCACCTTTTTGATGAAGGAATACAGCCATAAATAGGTAGACTTATAATACCAAAAGGGACTTACGAGGGTGACCAATGCTACCACCCCAAAAAAGTTTTTTTAACTAGGCAAATGAATGAAGAGTGACAAGTTGGGAGAAGGGGATGAGTTACTCTAAATAAGAAAGTCTTCACTGAGGAGATGTGTTTGGAGCTGAGACTTGGAGACTCAACGGGGAGCTCTGGATGAAGAGGACTTTACCTGGAGAGGCTCGCCAGCATGGATGCCATGAGACTGGAGTGGAAACAAACCAGGTTGGCCTGGACCATGGTGACCAAAGGGGAGCAGGACACAAGATGAGGTCAGAGTCCCAGGCAGGGGCCAGATGTCGAAGGAACCCGAAGCCTGACTTTATGGTACCACAATGTTTCTCACAGCTTGACAAAAAACGTCTATCTTTGCACAAATCGAAATGTGATGCTGATACTACAGATACAGGGGAAAAGACAAGAGGCTAGGAATCACAAGACATGGATTCAGATTCCACCTCTTCCTGTTGTGTCTTAGGAACAACCCAAAAGGAAAATCAATGTTCGTTAAACACTAGTAACTACCAAGCTCCGAATCAAATTTGATCTTGCTTCATTTCATTCAACTTGGGTTATTTTCTCAGGCCTCTAAACCTCAGTTTCTATGACTATAAAGTGTAGAGAGTAATAATTAATACCTTTTGCACCTATATTATGGATTATTAAAAAGGTGTATAAATTTAATATACAGAAGTTCCCTTGATGGCTGAATACCCATTGAAGATATTCAGAGGTGAGGGTGGTGGGCACACTTAAACCTCAGACTTCGTTGCCACTCACTATACATTGCAACCATATAACAAAAAGCAATGTGTGCCTCCTCAAGCTACTGAAATAAAGAAAAAAAAACCATAATAAAATAAAATATTAAGAAATAAGATATTATCACTATAGGTAAACATATTCCTTTTTTTAAGTTGTATTGTATGATGTTTGTTCTTCCTAGACTAAGATATTCTACTTTGGTTGTAGAATAGACCTTTGAGCATCTCTTTGACTGTCACCAAACCAGAGAGCTAAAGAGACAACAAAACCTCAGAGAGCCAAGCATCCCAATGTAAACTGCAATGAGTCTATCACTTAGACTTTTTGTTCCAACTCTACCCATCAATTTTTAAAAATCATTTCAATTTACATACACACCCTTCTAAACCTATTAGAATCAACTTGCAAAGGGAAAGATTCTCTTGCTCTTTGGCATCCTTTCATGGACACTGAGCTGTGGCTGTCACATACAACACCTGGGAAATAGTTTCATGACATCTCACATTACTGAACAGGAAACCAAGATGATTACACATCTTTGAAAACTTGGAAAGTACTGATAAGGACAGTGAAACAGCCTAATGAATTAAGCTGGCCAAAAAGGGTGATAAGAAAGACATTTACAGAACGCTTTAACTATTTAAGTATGTATTATACATAAAAATACACTCAAAAAATTGTATTTTAATAAAGTTGAAACTATAAGTATTCATACACGCTTTCAATATATAGTTTTTCACTTACTTATATGGTATCCAAAACCGTAGTCAAAAGTAAGTTACATGTGGAGCATAATTATGCATTCTTTGAAGGACCCTAACTGCAAAGCTAGGCCAGGCGCACAGTGGCTCACGCCTATAATCCCAGCACTTCAGGAGGTCAAGATGGGAGGAACCCTGGAGCCTAGGAGTTCGAGACCAGCTTAAGCAACATAGCAAGAATTCATCTCTACCAAAAATAAATAAATAAACCGGGTGTGGTGGTGCACACCTGTAATCCCAGCAACTTGGGAGGCTGAGGCAGAACGACCACCTGAGTCCAGGAAGCTCAGGCTGTAGTGAGCAGTGATTGTGCCACTGCACTTCAGCCTGGGTGACAAAGTGAGACCCCAACTTTAAAAAAAAAAAACTTTAAAATTAATCGCTAAAGTTTCATTTCTATCAGTTCATTAGGCTGATTCAGACTGAACTCCTAAGAGTAGGGACTTTGTAATTTATATTTGCAGCTAACCAGGATTTTGGACTTGGAGCAGATGCTCAAGCAACTTATCAAATGACCGAAAGCCCAGTCCTAGACAAATCTACCTACAATGAATTTTTTAACCCCCAATCCTCCAAGCTCACGACTTACCTCTGGTATACAAGCTCCTGTGAAACCAAACAAGCCATTGGCATTGTCACTTTTCTGTATTATTAATCTTGCTGTCGTGTTTTCTTCAGAAATACGAGCTCCTCCAAACACAGAGACGAGTTTAAGAATGAAGAACTCTTCTCCCTCCTCCTCATTGTCATCCCTCGCAGAAACAATGAACGATTTGTTCGTTTCTCCTTGCCTGAACTCCAGGTACCCGGAGATGGGGTGTAAGTCACTTCTCGCAGGCAGGGCATGAAGCTCATAAATTTCTTCCAGGGTCAGTTTCCGCTCATAGGCTCGCACATCCTGCATCAGCCCCATGAATCGGTTCTTGCCATTGAGCCCGGCCCCAATTCGCAGTATTCCAGGACCTGAAATTAGAAATGGGGTTAAAAGCTCCAATATCCACAACCATCCTGCCCTAAATTACAAGTGGGATTCAGAGAGTAAAACAATTTAATTAAAAGAAGTTATTGAATAAATAAAACTTTTGTATACCTAGTATACAATCAAATAAAGGTTATAACCTCCTGTAATGAAAAATGAATCCATAAATAAATCACTAAAGACATTGGTAACCATCGTCAAATTAGATGATATCCTTGAGAATAACTTCTATCAATCTGTCAAATAACATTTCTGTTCAGAAAAATAACAACATACATGTATACATATGTATATGTGTAGCAAGATATTTGGACAGACATTTCTTCTAGGATATTTTAAACTTTATTTGCACAGTTTAAAATGGAATGATTGGCCTTTGCCTTGCTAAGCTTATGTGTGGCCATGTGCTCTCAAACGTTGGCTCCCTTCTCTGCCTTGGGGAGATGAATCTCCTCACTCTTTCTCTCGAACTGACTTTCTAAATAAACTACATTTGCTAATCTAAAAAAAAATAAAGAAATAAAATGGAATGATTACATTTAGTCACAATTTTAAAATTTGGTATTATTATTCTTTGAGAATGTCAAGGCTTATTATATTAGAAGCTCATCTTGAGTTAAAGTTGCGAGAGTTCAGAAAAAAGTTTCTCTGGGCCAAATGTATCTCTGCATCCAAACAACTAATGAAATGGCTGTACCAACAGAAATTTTTATTCCCAGAAACATTACGTGCAAGTCTTAGGTACTTTTTAAACAGTGATAACACGCAACCCAACTATGTCACCATATCTCAGTCCTTGTTAGTATATATCACCAGTTCACATTTCTTTACTTGTTCCTTCTCTAATAACTCATCTAAGCAATTATGTAAGATGAGATCTTGGCAGTGATTCTGGAAAAAAGTATAAGTAACATTTCCTGTCAACAGCTTCAATGAAGGTTGTTTTACAAATCTCTACCCAGATGGCATTTTAAGGGTCATCGTAAGGCTCGGGTCATTCTAAGGCTCGGGCACATCATTGTCATGAGTGCGCCTATGGTCACTACAGAGATGACCTTCTAGCCCAGTGAACAACTGGAGCTCAAGATTGGGTGGAAAATTCTGTATGATTCTCCTATTGAAATATCTGGCAACTGTAATGATATAAGTTCCCCTGATTTTCACAAAACCATGTCATGGTCCTACCAGCTAGGAAACTATCTAGAGTCAAGGATATAGAAATGATCATATCAGCCGGGCTCGGTAGCTCAGCCTGTAATCCCAGCATTTTGGGAGGTCGAGGCAAGTGGACTGCCTGAGCCCGCGGGTTCGAGACCTGCCCGGGCAACTTGGTGAGCCCTCATCTCTACAATAAATCAAAAACTAGCCTGACATGGTAGCACACTCCTGTAGTGCCGGCTACTTGACTTGGAAGGTTGAGGCGGAAGGATCGCCGAAGCCCAGCAGGTCAAGGCTGCGGTGGCCGGGAGTGTGCCACTTGCACTCCAGTCTGGGCAACAGAGTAAGACTCCAACACACACACACAAACACACACACACACACACACACACACACACACACACACACGATCATATCATCTTTAGTTTCGTTCCTATGATATACTAAAAGGAATTCTGACCTAGGAATTAAAGGCTTATTTTCAAACCCTGCTCCTCTATTACTTGGCTGTGTGATGTTGGCTAATTTATATACTGACTCTGACTTTTATCTCCTTATCTATCAAATACTTAACATATTGAATTATTCTGTAGTGCAAAATAGGTAATTTATAAAAAATACCTTATAAATGTAAAACACTATGTAAATTTGAGGGTTCTAAGCACTTTACTTCTTATGGCTAATTCTCTGGACTAGCATGACCATTATTTCTTGAATGTTAGTGTCAACTACTTATGTTACGATGCTAAATCAATCAAAATAAAAACATTATAAAAATGCCAATATGTTACAGTGGTGCCTTTAGAATGGAGGGAATATGGAACTTTCACTTTTCATCTTAATATGTTTTAAATTTTATGGACTACTCATGTACTAATTTGACAATGGAGAAAAATAAGGAAATACATATTTTGTGTATATAAAAATTTTCAACAGTACACTTAATGTTTACAGGGGTTGTCTCTGAATGATAGTATTGCAAATGATTTTTATTTTTGTTTTGTATGTGTACTTTGACATTTTTCTATATTGACCAATTTAAAAATGCACCTTTTTGAAACTATAAGATACCACTACAAACCTACCAAGGTGGTTAAAATTAAAAACAGAAAAAGCTAAGCATTAATAAAGTGGAACTCTCACACACTAGAGATAAGGTAGAGATAGGTTACCTCTTTTGGAAAACTGTCGAGTATTATCTACTAAAACTAAATACACGCACTCACAGTAATTCAGCAATTTCATCCTTAGGAATGTACCCAATAAAAATGCTTACTGCAGACATGTTCAGCATAAAAGCATAAAAATATTCATAGACGTACTTACTATATGTAATAGACAAAAGCTGGAAATAACCCAAACAGAAATGAAAAGTAGCATGAATAAATAAATCGTGTTAACATTACACATGGGAATTTTATATAGTATTGAGCATGAAATATTTACAACAGGCAAAAATATGGATGACCCTCACTAACAATATTGAGCAAAAGAGGCCAAACACTCAAGGGATATACTGCACAATTCTGTTTACATAAATGGAGAAACAGGAAAGCTAATTGGAGCTCTTAAATGATTCTAAAATGCCAGCCGTAGGCAGGCAGAGCGGTGAGTTAGCAACTAGGGCTTCTGGAATGCTCTACTTCTTAATCTGGTGGCTGGTTTCATAGGTGCGGAAACTGATGGATTTTAAGTTTTAAAAAAGTTCATTTATCTGTACACTTATGATGTGTACTTTTACATATTCTATAATATAAAAAGACTCTATTTTATCAATAACTTTAAAATATATATTTCTAAATGTTCTTTCCAAGTGACAAATTACAAAAATCACATAAATCTTTTACAGTAAGCCAAAAAGAGGCTAAAAACATCAACCCTTACATCCTCAAATCCCTTCCATTATCTGTCTACCATCAACAAAGGAACTAAGGTGAGCAGACACACGTACGCATTCATCCACCCAATAAAAAGGTGAAGAACTTAATGCCACAGAGTGCTGTAAGCACAGTCCTAGGGATCGAAATGAGTAGATATGTGTCTTTCCTTTGCTCAACTTTTTTACTTCTGGAAAAAATATATATATAACCGAATACCTCATACAGGAGGTTCAGAAGAAAATCATTCTATTACATTACAGCCATATAAGCTCTGCTCCATCTTCAGCTAATTATAAAACAGAATCAAATTATAGCATGGAGAGACCGGGAGGAAAGGGCGACTCATGAAGATAAGCAATAATTTATGTGCACAAATGAGCTTCTCGAGGAAAAGTATATGATTTTGTTCAAAGACAGCAACGACGATTTCTTCCAAGCACTCCAAGGAATTCGCCAATCTACCTCCTGCTACAATAAACCCCGTAATCACAGTTCCATGTGCTTTTTCTCTCTTTCTTTTCAGTATTGTGCCCACCACTGATCACCTCCAGCATTACTGAGCTCACAGCATTCCCGTTTCACATTTCTACTCCTCACCCATTCCTCTGCTTGGAATAACATTCTGCATCACTCTTACCACCCACAAGAGGGATCAATGCTCCTCCTTCACAATTTTTTTTTCCTTTTACAAAGTAAAAAAGTATCATGGTGATCTATTGGACATCTCTCTCCTAGAGCTTACTCCAGGCTCTTCAAGGGCAAAACTTCACCTGATTCATTTCTGCAATACTCAGAATTTATCACGCTCTTGCTAGGAACATAGTTTTGTTTCCAGAAATTAAATCAATACAAAATGTTCTTAAATGTCTGTCAGAATTTTTTAAATTCTAAACTTTAGAAACTTGAAATTTCAGCATCTTAGTCATGACAATGACACTCACCATCAGTAATGGCTTCTCCTTTCAGACTCTTGATCCCTCTGGGCATTGCATTTCCATCCAAGTAGAATTCAATTATACCATCATCCAGGATAATCAGTAGATGAAGCCAAACACTTTCTTCTAAATATTTCATGACTGTTGTCTTGGCAATGTACGTAGCATTGGAACCCAAGGTTTTGTAATGAAGGGAAAGTGTCACATGGGATTCATTTGTGTGAACTTTTACCCCATAGTAGAGGCCTCCATTACCATCATCCTTCGCTATAACAAATCCATTTGTGTTGGCATTAGGCATTACCCAAGCTGAGAATGTGAAATTGGCAATTGTGTTATTTTTGGAGGGATGGTATTTTTGATCAACAGTGCCAAATGCACCCTCTAGTCCGGTGAAGTACAAAGCATCTGTTCCACTATGATGATGTCGCATGTGTGGTTGTAAGTGCACAGTGCTGGGGAAAATTCCAACCAGTAAAAAGTCTACCATTGGTGGCAAGCCAGCAGTGAACTCACTGGACAGTATTTCCCAGCCCACTCGTACATCACCAAAGACACCCTGTTGCCTCAGAATGGTGAAATTGGTCATATAAGACATGTCATCTTCCGAGAGGACATCTTCCGCTACTTCTCTCTCTAAACACTCTGGATCCAAGATGAAAACTCCAAAGGGATCATCATTGAGTGGAATCATCACTGTCACCTGGAGGTTGCTTTCTGCAAGTTGGCCTCCAGGACCTGGGGATCCACCTGTAATAAGGAAATGTATAAGGAGTGAGAAACCCGAATTTCAAGTACTTTCTAGTATAATGTGAAGAAAAAGAAATCCGTTTAGCAGACAAACTTTTGGTTACATGACTTCCTCATGGTCAATAAACAATAGTGTCACCTATGGCTTTCACCACACTTTAGGGGAAGGACAGCCAATAACATTTGTTCATCATGATTTTGTTAATAATTAGTAAAGCCTGAAAAGACAATATGAACTAGATAGGTTAAATTCCTGTACTGAAAACCGAAAGGGATGGGAAGATTGATTATTCAGATTATGACACAAAGGTCAAGTTTTGAGCTACCGTGAATCTTTGCTTCCTAATTTCCATTAATATTTTGTTGGAGACACTGTGTTTGTTGTGGGAAAAGTTTATTTACAAGTGTGAGGATAGATGTAAGCCTCCATCCATAAAACCAAACCAGGCTAAAAAACAACAAAAAAGTGTTAAAAATAACACTTCAAGAAAGAAGGGTATTTTGACATTTAAAATCATATAAATAAGATACACTCACTTCTTCATCAATTGCATTTTCTATGCAGTAGTAATTATTTAAGCATAAGATACAAAGTTTGGGTGATAAACTAGGAGGTAGAAAACCACAGCACCTGAAACGTTTACAAGCTTGAGGTTATAAAATTCGTTGAATTCAGGAATTTTATCTGGAAAAGCATGGAGGATTATTGACTTTGTTCCTTCTCCATCCAGAAAGGCAACAGTCCCTGAAGTTTCATAGAACTCTTGTCCAGGTTGCAAAGCAGAGTCATTCTGAAACAGCTGCCAAGCCACGGAAACATTGCCAAAGTATCCTCGGTGCCTCAAAATCCTACATGAGAAATCAAAGAGAAGAAATTTTCATGAAAGATATATAAATAGTGAATCTAACTCTAATGAGAGCTTTATATTTCTGAGAGTTATCTCAGAAATATACTTTTTCTATTTATCATCTTTAAATCAACCAGCCAGCCAGACCTACTGAGCAACCTGAAGAATCTCCTGGAAAGGGAAGAATAAGGTAGAACCTGAGATGATAAAGAGAAGCTGTCTTAAAAGTCAGTCTTCAAAGTTTAAACTGAACGATGAATTCTGAGTCACATTGAGAAGCTACTTGGCAAAATCTTTTCAGAAGTAAAGTACAGGGTGAAAGAAGTCAAACAATCACCCGAGAGAGGAGTCCCTGAAGGAGAGGGGTGGGAGAATAATTTCGGCTTACCAGTGGCTATTGTTTTTTTAAAAAAAAGATATTTTAAATTAGTATTCAGCCAAGCCTGAAAAAAGGATATGAACTAGAGAGGTCTAATTCCTGTGCTTAAGACCAAAAGCGAGCTGGGTGTGGTGGCCCACATCTATAATCCCAGCATTTTGGGAGGGCAAGGCAGGGAAACTGTGTAAGCCCAGGAGTTCGAGACTAGCCTGGGCAATGTAAAAATAAAAATTAAAAAATTAGCTGGGTGTGGTGGTGTGTACCTTTAGTCCCAGCTACACAAAGAGGCTGAGGTGGGAGGATTGTCTGAGTCTGGGAGGTCGAGGCTGCTGTGAGCCACAATCATTGTGATCAAGCCACTGCACTCCAGCCTGGATGACAGAGTAAGACCCTGACTCAGAAAAAAAAAAAAAAAGTGGGTGGGTGTCATGCCTATAATCCTGGCACTCTGGGAGGCTGAGGCAGGGGAATTGCCTGAGCACAGGAGTTCAAGATCAGCCTGGGCAACATAGCAAGATCCTGTCTCTAAAAAAAAATAATAATTTTTTAAAATTAGCCAGGCATAGTGGCATGCACTTGTAGCCCCGGCTACTCAGGAGGCTAAGGCGAGAGAATCACCTGAGACCAGGAGGTCGAGGTTGTGGTGAGCTGTGATCATGCCACTGCACTCCAACCTAAGCGACAGAGTGAGACCCCACTCAAAAAAAAAATAGTGATGGGAAAATTGATTGCTTAAATTATGACAAATTGTGCAACAGCATAAACAAAGTCATACCATTCACTCAGTCTGCCAACTTTGCAATTACTCAATTCTTGACCAATTTTTTAAATTTTGAAAGATTAGCAATATTTTGAATTTTCACATATTAAATAATCTTATTTTCTTTCATCCAGTTAAGCATTTGCCTTATCCAAATGTGCTTACCAAAATGCATTCGTCTTTCCTTCTTCCACTGTCTTGTCTATGGGCTCCAGAGAAAAAATACCATTTGGGTCATCATTAGCTTCGATGATCACGGTAGCTACTCCATATTGATATACTACTGTATCCCCTAAATGAAAAATGAAAATGTCAAAAATAACAGGGAAGCAGCCAACCTACTACTCAACCTATACTTTTACATTAGAAAACTATTCATAATTAAGTCCAATTTTTCCACAACAATTTTCTCACTGAAGGTCATATAATAAATGCAAAACTGCTCGATTTCTCCAAACAGGTTTATATGCATACATACACACACACACACACACACACACACACACACACACACACACACACAGAAATAAATGCAATGTGAAATATTTTGTTTTTTGAGATGTTTAGTTACAAAGGAACTACTTTATTGAAAAACAAAGACACTTTTCTTCACAATAGGAATATGGCTTCAATCTATTATTTATAAATTAAGAACACAGTTTCTCATCTACTTTCACATTTTTTAGGTGATTCTTTCATATAAAAATAATTAAGGATTACCCCAAATACTAAAATACAACTGTCCATATTCATTAGACTCACTGGATAGAGCATTTTCCTCTGGATCTCTGTCTTCAGGCAACAAAGTCTTTCTGGTCGTACATGGAACAAAGCAGTCTCCATGGAGTTGACCTTGATTCTCTCTACCCCCATTCTTTGCCCAGCATTTTGGCGCTAGTATTGTCTACCCATTCGATCTCATCTCATCTGTTCCCTGAGAACCCTACCTCCAGCTATTCCTGTGGGAGCAAAAGTGCTGAACATCTTCACCCATCCAACTAACTCTTACCCCGAAAACCCAGCCCAAGCAACAACTCTTCCAGGAATTCTTCCTTGAATCCCCAGGTGGAGCTAAGTCCCTCTCCATTGAGTTACCACGGCACTTTGCACTTTGTCAATCTATCATAACAGTGATCACATTGCACTGGTGCACACACACGCAGACACACACGTATGCCATTTTACAGTAAGCTTCTTGGACAAATGATGTTTATTCAATTCCATGCCCTGGAAGAACAAATGCCCAGTAAATGTGCACTGAAGTTATTTATTGCTGAACTGATGCAAATAAAATAACTTTTAAAGTTAGATGAAGACAACACTTACACCTAAAATTATAGCAACAAATTATAGGTAGCAAACCAGCACATCAGAAAATAATTTATATGTAATACAACTGTATTTAACTTCATTTGATGATTAGCTGATGAAAAGAATAAAAGGGCATAAAAAAGACAGCAAATCGTGGAAAATGCTGACAGCCAATAAAATAAAGATCATATCATAAAATCTAACAAAAATAAATAAAAATAATAAAACCAAATTTTGGCAGGTTTCTGCTATCCTGTGAGTTTGCACTGCAACATGTCACAGATGGTACTAAAAATTTATTCTGTTTCTCTGCAAGATGAACCACAGTATTTAACAAGGACTCTAAGGATGGCCATGTCCTTTGGCCAGTATCAGGACATATAATATAAGCAATAGGTATCAGGATAAACACCCACTACCAGCACTAGGTCATATCAGAGGTATTGTCTCTCCAGCCTCCTATCAAGGAACCCCACAAGTCCCAGATGTTTTGATTTCATAAAGGAGGAAGGAAATAAGACAGGATGTATAAAAGCGCACGTTCTAGAGATTTCTGTCATCCAAACACTCGTAGGTAAAGTAATTAGATTCTCAGATAGCATTTCTGGAAAAATATTAAAGACAAGTACAAAGGCTACATGAAGCAACATACATACACATGTACCTCAGGCCAGTAACCTAGTCACACCTTGTGCTTCTTTCTCTCTTTTTCAAAATCAAATACATATGTCCCCAGTGACACATTTTACAAAATAAACTACTAAATCTCTCTTTGAAAAGTCATTTTTCCATTCTTTTTACAAAAGGTTCAGGATGTTTTGATGCACTATTTAACCATAGTGACATTTTGTTCCTGATGACGGTTTAACTCTCAGTGACATCCTGACCCCCCAATATGTTTGAAACACAAAAATTTTCACCACAATTACATCAAATTAATACATGTCATCATGAACTTGTTTCCAGAGTAAGTTCTCTCAAGACAATGTCATTCCTTCATCATCTTTCTATACTTCACAGTAAAACTTTCTGTTTTCCACTGTTATGTCACCAAAATTACTTTGCAATTCCTTTACATTTAAATTAATTTTAGAACAATAATTGGATCCACCAAATGTTTTAGGCTTATATAAGACCTGACTAGTTATGGGTTTTGCAATTGTGAAATTACTCTTATGGCCATTATTCTTTTGTTTGTTTGTTTTTGTTTTTTTAAAGCAGGATTTATTGAGAGGACAGAAAAGCTTCCAGAGCGGGAGGGGAACTGAGGGGTTGCCTTGTAGCTATTATTCTACAAAGTCCGGGTTTTTCTTACAAGATGATAGTTTTTAGTTTTAACTTTTTTGAGTTTTTGTAGGTAAGCTGTGTGAACAGTGAGAGACAGAGAAAGACAAAAAGAGAAAGAAAGGAAAATAGGAAGAGAGATAGCAAAGAAGAAAGAGAGAAAGAGACACAGCAAAAACAAAAATTAAGGGATCTCTTTCTCTTCCTCTTTCTCCACCTTTTCATTAGAACACAGGGTTGGCATTCCACTGGACATGGTGGGCAGAGCACCATAGCAGTCTAGGGCCAGGGTTAGAGCTCACACAGGGTAAGCAGGGCATCTCCCTGGGAGAGAGATGTGGCACAGAGCATTGGAGCGAGGGAGGTGAGGATGAATCCACATGGGGAGAGGGCTGTCCCAGGACAAGAAGCCAGATACTGTTGGGGTAAGAAGGGCAACCACATGTGGGCAGAGGATATCAAAAGCAATGGAAAAGAGGTGACATACAGAGGAAATTGGTCAGATATGCAAATAGATTAAAGATCAGGGAGCTGATTTCTCACTATCGGAGAAGGGACCAACAAATCCAGAAAGGGAGAAAACTACAGTGAGCCTATGATGCGGGTGAGGAGTGGAGACACTAATGTGATCTAAGGGTTTCAAACATACATAGATAGATCTAGAACTGCAGATGTAAATGTGTGCATGTGCACATGTGTGTATACATACAACATATGTGTATACACACATGTATGACCTATCTCCCCATGCCTAGGAAGAACAAAACCCAGTCAAAATGAGCACACCTGGCACGTAGATCCTGGTTGCTAAATAGCACTCTTCACTAAAAGGAACCAAGGTTTCTTGGAGAAATGGTTGATTCCAGGATTGTGATCGGAAAAGGTACAAAACAAGCTTGGAAGAACTTGCCATGCCAGGAAGAAAGAAAATGCTCACAGAATAAGAGCACACGTCAAAAGACCAGGGCAGTCATCTCAAATAAATGATCACTGGTCGAACCCAGCACAATTTGACCATAAAATAAACAGTAATAGTAGCAAAATATAAGTCACTGTATTAAATCGACGTCATCAGTGAAGAAATAGAAAGGTTTAGAGCAACAGGATATTTACACAGTTTCCAAGCACCTCCCCACAAAATATTACTAATTACAATGGGAAAAAAGTACAGTAGTGAAAGGAAGCTGTCACCATCTTAACTGCTGTCTAAGTAAATATCACAGTGAAAGAACAAATCGAAATCATGTGACGATTGAAGGGAAATGATAAGAACACAGAATCACTTCTGTGGGATTCCTATCAAGGCTACAAAACCTGAATCTAATAATGAGGAAACATCAAGCAAACTCAAAACAAGGGACCTTCTACCTTGTAATCTTCTCTATTGTTAAGGTCATGAAGGTCAAGGATAGACTGAGGAACTACTCCAGATTGAAGGGATTCAAGGGACATTATAATTAAATGTGATGCAAGATTCAAAAGCAATGCATTTTATTAGAAAAGACATTATTCAGACAACTGGAAAAATTTGGATGAGGTCTGAGGCAATGATCACCTTGTTAGTTTCCTGATGTTTGGTTCTATTGTGGTTACATAGGAGAACATCCTTGTTTATGGAAAACACACAACAATATATTCAAGGTGATGGGTCATCACATCTTTAACTTATTCTCAAAAGGTTCAGAGGAAAAAAGGTCTTTGTACTCTAAAAAAATAAATAATTGCCGGGCTCGGTGGCTCAGTCTATAATCCCGCACCTTTGGGAGGCTGAGGTGGGTGGGCTGCCTGAGCCCGTGGGTTCGAGACCCGCCTGGGCAGCGAGACCTCATCTCTACAATAAA